AAAGGTAGATGGGATGCAAGGAGAAAAGAAGCATCAGGAAGGAGAGAGGTGAAGGTTTATAAACTAAAAGAGGAGGCAGTTAGGGTAAGATATAAACAGCTATTGGAGGATAGATGGGCTAATGAGAGTATAGGCAATGGGGTCGAAGAGGTATGGGGTAGGTTTAAAAATGTAGTGTTAGAGTGTTCAGCAGAAGTTTGTGGTTACAGGAAAGTGAGTGCGGGAGGGAAGAGGAGCGATTGGTGGAATGATGATGTAAAGAGAGTAGTAAGGGAGAAAAAGTTACCATATGAGAAGTTTTTACAAAGTAGAAGTGATGCAAGGAGGGAAGAGTATGTAGAGAAAAAGAGAGAGGTTAAGAGAGTGGTGAAGCAATGTAAAAAGAGAGCAAATGAGAGAGTGGGTGAGATGTTATCAACAAATTTTGTTGAAAATAAGAAAAAGTTTTGGAGTGAGATTAACAAGTTAAGGAAGCCTAGAGAACAAATGGATTTGTCAGTTAAAAATAGGAGAGGAGAGTTATTAAATGGAGAGTTAGAGGTATTGGGAAGATGGAGGGAATTTTTTGAGGAATTGTTAAATATTGATGAAGATTGGGAAGCTGTGATTTTGTGTATAGGGCAAGGAGGAATAACATCTTGTAGGAGTGAGGAAGAGCCAGTTGGGAGTGTGGGGGAAGTTCATGAGGCAGTAGGTAAAATGAAAGGGGGTAAGGCAGCCGGGATTGATGGGATAAAGATAGAAATGTTAAAAGCAGGTGGGGATATAGTTTTGGAGTGGTTGGTGCAATTATTTAATAAATGTATGGAAGAGGGTAAGGTACCTAGGGATTGGCAGAGAGCATGCATAGTTCCTTTGTATAAAGGCAAAGGGGACAAAAGAGAGTGCAAAAATTATAGGGGGATAAGTCTGTTGAGTATACCTGGTAAAGTGTATGGTAGAGTTATTATTGAAAGAATTAAGAGTAAGACGGAGAATAGGATAGATGAACAAGGAGGCTTTAGGGAAGGTAGGGGTTGTGTGGACCAGGTGTTTACAGAGAAACATATAAGTGAACAGTATTTAGATAAGGCTAAAGAGGTCTTTGTGGCATTTATGGATTTGGAAAAGGCGTATGACAGGGTGGATAGGGGGGCAATGTGGCAGATGTTGCAGGTGTATGGTGTAGGAGGTAGGTTACTGAAAGCAGTGAAGAGTTTTTACGAGGATAGTGAGGCTCAAGTTAGAGTATGTAGGAAAGAGGGAAATTATTTCCCGGTAAAAGTAGGCCTTAGACAAGGATGTGTGATGTCACCGTGGTTGTTTAATATATTTATAGATGGGGTTGTAAGAGAAGTAAATGCGAGGGTCTTGGCAAGAGTCGTGGAGTTAAAAGATAAAGAATCACACATAAAGTGGGAGTTGTCACAGTTGCTCTTTGCTGATGAGACTGTGCTCTTGGGAGATTCTGAAGAGAAGTTGCAGAGATTGGTGGATGAATTTGGTAGGGTATGCAAAGGAAGAAAATTAAAAGTGAATACAGGAAAGAGGAAGGTTATGAGGATAAAAAGATTAGGTGATGAAAGATTGGATATCAGATTGGAGGGAGAGAGTATGGAGGAGGTGAATGTATTCAGATATTTGGGAGTGGACGTGTCAGTGGATGGGTCTATGAAAGATGAGGTGAATCATAGAATTGTTGAGGGGAAAAGGGTGAGTGGTGCACTTAGGAGTCTGTGGAGACAAAGAACTTTGTCCTTGGAGGCAAAGAGGGGAATGTATGAGACTATAGTTTTACCAACGCTCTTATATGGGTGTGAAGCATGGGTGATGAATGTTGCAGCGAGGAGGAGGCTGGAGGCAGTGGAGATGTCATGTCTGAGGGCAATGTGTGGTGTGAATATAATGCAGAGAATTTGTAGTTTGGAAGTTAGGAGGAGGTGCGGGATTACCAAAACTGTTGTCCAGAGGGCTGAGGAAGGGTTGTTGAGGTGGTTCACACATGTAGAGAGAAAGGAGCGAAACAGAATGACTTCAAGAGTGTATTAGTCTGTAGTGGAAGGAAGGCGGGGTAGCGGTCGGCCTAGGAAAGGTTGGAGGGAGGGGGTAAAGGAGGTTTTGTGTGCGAGGGGCTTGGACTTCCAGCAGGCATGCGTGAGCGTGTTTGAAAAGAGTGAATGGAGACAAATGGTTTTTAATACTTGACGTACTGTTGGAGTGTGAGCAAAGTAACATTTATGAAGGGGTTCAGGGAAACCGGCAGGCCGGACTTGAGTCCTGGAGATGGGAAGTACAGTGCCTGCACTCTGAAGGAGGGGTGTTAATGTTGCAGTTTAAAAACTGTAGTGTAAAGCACCCTTCTGGCAAGACAGTGATGGAGTGAATGATGGTGAAAGTTTTTCTTTTTCGGCCACCCTGCCCTGGTGGGAATCGGCCAGTGTGATAATAATAATAATAATAATAATAAATTATTATTATTATTTTAGGGAACTGGAGCACAGATCCAATTCCCTCTATCAAAAGCCCATCACCACATAATAATAATAATAATAATAATAATAAATAATACATAATTAAAACAATAATAATAATACATAATTAAAACAATAATAATAATGATAATACAATATAATAATAATAACAGTAAGGAGAAACTTCAAAAGGCTGCCATTAGTTGTCACCACCATCAGCAGAACATTGGTAGCCACTACTAGTACACTTTTCACTTGTCTAGACTTAGTAGTCTATTAGTATTAGGTTAAGTCTGCCTGAAATGCCTCAGCATGATAGTGGTTTTCTTTGCTCCAATCATATTATGATATGTAAACACACATTATAACCTTTGCAAAGAAATAAATATTTTAATAATTTATTTATTTATTTAAGGAACCTCCATTGAGGGGGAAGTTTGCATCCTGAAATTTCATTCGTATCAAGAAGCAAAAAATCAACTGAACGGCGGTTCGTATCCTGAAAAATTGACATGGTGGGGTGTTCGTAAGCCAAGGTTCCACTGTATATCTAAGGCATATGACAGGGTGGATAGGGGGACAGTGTGGCAGATGTTGTAGGTGTATGGAATAGGAGGTAGGTTACTGAAAGCAGTGAAGAGTTTTTAAGAGGATAGTGAGGCTCAGGTTTGAGTATGTAGGAGAGATGGAGAGTATTTCCCAGTAAAGGTAAGCCTTAGACAAGGATGTGTGATGTCAGCATGGTTGTTCAATATATTTGTAGATGGGGTTATAAGAGAAGTGAATGCGTGGGTGTTGGCAAGAGGTTTGGAGTTAAAAGAAAAAAAATCTAACACAAAGTGGGAGTTGTCACAGTTGCTCTTTGCTAATGACACTTTGTTTTTGGGAGATTCGGAAGAGGAGTTGCAGAGGGTGGTGTATGAATTTGGTAGGGTATGTAAAAGAAGAAAATTAAAAGTGAATATAGGAAAAAGTAAGGTTATGAGGATAAAAAAATTAGGTGATGAAAGATTGGATATCAGATTGGGGAGAGTATGGAGGAGGTGAATGTGTTCAGATATTTGAGAGTGGACATGTTAGCAGATGGGTCTATGAAGGCTGAAGTGAATCATAGAATTGATGAGGGGAAAAGGGTGAGTGGTGCACTTAGGAGTCTGTGGAGACAAAGAACTTTGTCTATGGAAGCGAAGAAGGGTATGTACGAGAGTATAGTTATACCAACACTCTTTTATGGGTGTGAAGCATGGGTGGTGAATGTTTGAACAAGGAGAAGGCTGGAGGCAGTGGAGATGTCATGTCTGAGGGCAATGTGTAGTGTGAATATAATGCAGAGATGGAAATTAGGAAAAGGTGTGAGATTACCAAAGCTATTATCCAGAGGGCTGAGGAAGGGTTATTGAGGTGGTTCGGACATGTAGAGAGGTGGAACAAAATAGAATGACTTTGGGAGTGTATAAATCTGTAGTGGAGGGAAAGCGGGGTAGGGGTCGTCCTAGGAAAAGTTGGAGAGAGGGGGATAAAGGAGGTTTTGTGTGCAAGGGGCTTGGACTTCCAGCAAGCATGCATGAGCGTATTTGATAGAAGCGAATGGAGACAAATGGTTTTTATGACCTGATGCTGTTGGAGTGTGAGCAAAGTAACATTTATGAAGGGATTCAGGGAAGCCAGCAGACTGGACTTGAGTCCTGGAAATGGGAAGTACAGTGCCTGCACATTGAAGGAGGGGTGTTAATGTTGGAGTTTTATAACTGTAGTGTAAGCATGCCTCTGGCAAGACAATGATGTAGTGAATGATGATGAAAGTTTTTCTTTTTCGGGCCACCCTGTCTTAGTGGGAAACGGCTGTGTTAATAATAATAAAAAAAGTAAAATCTAAGATCAGATTTTTCCTAAAAACCCAGATTATCATGGTTTTTCCTCTTGATACTTCTAGTACCACTAGTATTTTTTTAGTGCCATAGTTAATATCCAGAGACAAGATGGGCTGATGAAAAGATTGAAAATCAACCGAGTCACATACAACTGAGTACTGTAAAATATGGAACATGTGCATGTGGTGAACTGCAATCGTGGGAGATAATTTACATCAGGCCTACAGGCCTTTCCTGTATTGTATCAATTTGTAGTGGGGAAGGTTCCGTCAGTGTAGCATATTTTCTCCTGAATTTACCTTATCATTCAGTGCAAAATTTTAGCATAAAATTTAATTTATGTTGAAAATGTGTTACTTGGATGCCAGTTGTTGGGGATTCTACTGTACAAGTTTACTGAGGTCACTCACAGTTGTCCAAACTGCTTTTTGTTAGTACAAACAAATGGTGATTCTTTGTGGAAATACTAAGTAAATGTTTCAAATGTTGCTACTGAATCTTTTAATACTGAAGAATATGGAAATGCTTAGTGACTTAGATATTTGAGGAATATTATTAGTTTTGCTTCTTTTCTGAAAACTGGCAACAGTTCCTGAGATAACAAGCTTTCAGAGATTGACAGGGGGATCATGAAATTACTTTATCTTTCATTCAATAACTATAACATATATGCCAACAGACTCCAGAGAGATTAGAGCAGTTTGCAAAACGATACCGAGAGTGGGACGACCCATCAGGAGAGACTCCACCCTACCACTATGGTACACATTACTCCTCTGCGATGATTGTTTCGTCCTACCTTGTTCGCATGGAACCTTTCACACAACACTTCCTCAGATTACAAGTAAGATCGTTTTTAAATTCCCTAGAATGTTTTTTTTTAAGAGGTTCCATTAATATGTGTAGTTCTGTGGTAGTGCCCCAACTTAGACACCCAAGTTATGCTGATCCACACTTACGAACAAGGTCCAGAACAAATAATATTGAGAAACATTGTGTTTTATGCATACTTATCAATGGTTACAGACTTGTGTGAAATATGACTATAATTTTATGTAAGATAATAGACTTGGGTTACAACTTGTTAACAAATTTAAACACTAGGAATGCAATTCATTCATAAGTTGGGGTGCTGTTGTATTGTTTTCAGGAAGGACTGTGATGTTTTCATTTTACATTGCCTTGCTTTTAATGCATGACATTGTGTGGCATCTTTCTATTTTAAGTGGTCAGATATGCTTTAGTATACTAGTAGCAGATATCTATCTCATTCAAAATAATGAATATTCACAATAATATATATGCACATTGTAAGTACCGTAATAGAAATAAATTAGACAGTCCTCTCTTATTCAAGAAATGAATCTGAATTAAAGCTTCTGAAATACAGTATTTCTAAGATCTTCCTCATTTTCAAAAAATTAAAATTTTCAGAGGTTCTGGATTAACCCGTAAACGGTCCAAACATATATGTACGTTCTTACCGCTAGTGCCCCAAACATATATATACGTTTTATTTTTCCGGCCTTCAAATTTGGCACGATTGGCCTGAGATGCCTTGTCAGCATAGAATGGGTCTTAACAATCAGTGTGCACTGTATTAAAAAAATCTGGGACCACTTAGTACCTTGTGGGAGCACCAGTTCAAATGAGCACCAGCTAGAGCAAACAGCGTGGCAAACACCTGGGATTCACTGATTTCATTACTAATGTTGGAGAGAGCTCACACATAGTTTTGTGAACACTCGACGTCCCGACATGATAGCTGTTGTTGAAACATTTTTGGATGACAGGACTCCAGAAAATTTTGCAAGAATTGCTGGCTACACCTCATGGATTAGAAGAGAGAGGCAAGGGCAAGGAGGAGGTGTTGCTGTGTGCTTCTCTAAAAGTGTTCATGCCCAGCACATTGATGTTGCCACCCCTACACATCTTGAAATGATGTTCTTCAAGCTCTGTATAAACACTAATACCTCTGTACTAGCATGTGCAATGTACAGACCTCAGTGGCAACATGCAGACCCCATCAACTTCCTAATGGAAAATATTGACTCCCTTCTGGTACAACACAACTGTCAACATATTATAATTGTTGGTGACCTCAACCAGCACCTTATACAGAGGGACTTTGATGACCTTCTTGCAGTGTTTGACATGAGAAACTTTGTTGATTTCCCTACTCATATCTCTGGCTCCTCCCTTGACCCAGTAGTGAGTGATCTGGCAGAAGGCATAGTCACTTGTCAACCCCTCAGCTACGTTGGATCGTCTGACCACAAGGCTGTTTTTACGACACTTAAGATCCCAACAGAACGAGGTGAGGAGTCCACACGCACAACCTGGCTATGAGAAAGAGGTAATTGGCCAGCCCTTTGCTCTGAGCTTGCCACCACTGATTGAAATGCTCTTCTCCACGGGGATGTTGACAACCAAGTGAAAGCCTTCACTGGACACATCCTTAATCTACAACAAGAACACATTCCTCACCGGCAATATGTGACGAAGCCTACAGATCAGCCTTGGTTTGGCTTTCATTGTAGAGAGGCTGCTACTGCTAAGTACAAAGCATGGCGAAGGTATAAGAGACATCCTACCACCTATAACAGGAACTTGCACAGGCAAGCCTGTGGCATATGGGTGATGTTCAAAAGTGGGGGCCCTTGCTAAATGGGAGGTGGAACTAAAAGAAAAACTAGCATCAGGTAGGGTAGGCTCCAAAACCTGGTGGTCCCTGGTCAAGGACAGACAAGGTTATCTGCCAGGTGAACTTATTCCACCTCTAAATCGACAGGTGGGACCACCTCTACTAGTAGTCAAGAGAAGGGGGGACCTCTTTGCTGAACACTTTGCTACCAAAATGCAAGTTCCTATCCAGCAAGGGAACCCCCCTTTGGGTACTGCAAGGGAAATGTGTCCCAAAAATGTCAGTGGTAACAATAAGGCAGGAGGAGGTGCATTTCCTTCTTAAATCGCTTTACCAAGAAAAAAGGGTGTGGGCCCAGACAAGTTGAGCCCAAGATTGCAGAGAAGATGTGCAGACCAGCTAGCAGCACCTCTAACTCGCATCTTTCAGCACTGCCTAGTACAGTGTAAATGGCCCTCTCTATGGAAAGAGGCAAATGTAGTCCCTATTCACAAAAAGAAGAGCAGAGCAGAAATCAGCAACTACAGACCAGTGTCACTCCTGTCAATCACTGGTAAGATCCTTCAGACAATAATCTCGAGACAAATGACAGAGTTTTTTGACTACCACTCAGTACTTTGTGATCGTCAATATGGCTTCAGGAAAGGTTACTCTGCTGCTGATGTGTTGTTAAACCTCTCCACTAAGTGGCACCAGTCACTGGATGAATCCAAAGTCAGCTGTGTGGTAGCACTGGACATTGCTGGTGCTTTCGACTGGGTGTGGCACCAGGGCCTCTTAGCAAAACTTCAAGCACTGGGAATTGCAGGCTCTACGCGATGTCTCCTCAGTGATTACCTTCATGGTAGATCTCTAAGTGTAGTTCTCAATGGAACGGAATCAGCAAGACATCCTATTGGGGCATGCTGGGTCCATTGTTATGGAATGTCTACTTCAACGACCTTCTTCATCTCATCCCAGAATCACATGCATATGCAGATGACTGTACACTGACATTCACTTATCCAAGAGAAGAAATGCCAGCTGCTCTAAGCTACATCAATCACCAGCTGAGAGCTATATCAGCTTGGGGAAATAGATGGCAAGTAACATTTGCACCTGAGAAAACGCAAATGATGATCGTCTCTAGGCACCATGATGGTAATGCTGGTGCAGTAGTAAGGATGAATGGGAGGGTGTGCGCACCTGGAGAAGAAGTTGATATCCTTGGGGTGAAATTTGACTCCAAACTAACCATGAAGAACCATGTTGTAAATCTTGCAAACAAGGCAGCCAGGAAGCTTACAGCACTTCGCCATATCTCGCATCTGCTTGACAGTAGGGGTTGCAAGATCCTGTACGAGGCACAAGTACGCTCGCACCTTAAGTATGCTCCACTTTCTTGGTTTGCCTGCCCCCCCTCTCATCTGCGACTGCTTGACAGAATAGAGAACAGAGCAAGACGCCTCATCTCTCGCATGGACCCATCCTGGATAGATCTGTCATTTCAGCAGAGCCTTCAACATAGGAGGAATGTGGGTGGCCTTACTGTTAGGTACAAGGCCAATATTGTCAAAATACCACACTTGGATCCACTTCGAGGACAGCATGAAACAAGCTTTTATGCCACAAGACGGGCAGAAAGCAGCAACTTCACTCTGGCTGTACCCTTCTCCAGAACATAACTCCATCTGAGATCATACATACCCAGGATGACTCGAGTATGGAACACATTCGTACAGCATAATGATGTCAACGAGATAGTCAGTTGATCAAATGAAAATGCTGGCCCACAGATGGCTCCAACTTCATCCTGTTCCCTACTTGTATGTCTCATAACAATAAAAATGCTTTCAAATGAGCTAATGTAGGTAACAGCTCTTAGCTTGCCAATAAAGTTAGGAATCCTTAACCTGTAAATAGTTTGTCAATAAAGCTAAGGATCCTTAACCTTGTCAAACCCTGTGTAAAAAAAAAAAAAAAAAAAAAAAAAAATCCCATTTTAAGAGGAAAGTAATGTTGACCCTGAGTTTAGTGGCTTTGAGGTGGATGTGGCCATAAGTGGTCGAGGAAATATCAAAAAACCTCGATAATAACTGACGTGCAATATTTGTGCAACACCCTTTCAGAATGTCTTATAACCTATGCCCTAAGTAAAGAGAAACAATTCTGAAATGTAATACTTGCTCAGCTGGCTGGCTGCTGGCGGCCTGGCTGTATCTCCATTTGTCTGTCTGTATCTATGTCTATCTGTGTCTCTATCTCTGTCTGTCTTTGTCTATCTGTCTCTTTCTGTCTGTCTCTCTCTGTATCTTTGTCTCACAGGTACACATAAATACAAGTATACATAGTGTAAATTACCTAGGATAACCCAAAAAATCCAGACACAGTGCTATACTCTGCTTGAAGATATGAGTGAATGTGATGACGCAGTCTTGTGGCTCTCCCTGAGACGGAGAACTAGACGGATAGACAGGGACCTTGGCAGACAGACAAATAGACAGACAAGTTTGCTGCTGCTGCTGCCGCTCTAGCTGTAGTAGTAGTAGTAGTAGTACTCCCATATGTCCGAGACATTACTGGGACATATAAATACTTTGTATATACAGTGGTCCCTCATTTATCGTTGTTAGTCCATTCCAGGAAGTGCGACGATTATTGAAATAGACGATTTTTTAATCAGTTTTTCCCATAGGAAATAATGTAAATACAGTTAATCCATTCCTGACACCCTGAAGTATTAAAACAAAATTTTTTTTTACATAACATATAGATGTAGTACATAAACAATACAATGGGATACGATGAATGAAACATTAACAGCATAACACTTACCTTTATTGGCGATTCTTAGTGTATGGAAGACTGGAGGAGGAGAGAGATTGGATTAGTTACTGTTTGGAAGGGGAATCCCCTTCCAACAACACCTCAGGTACCAAGTGCTTTTCTGGGGTTACTTCTCTTCTCTGTTTCTTAATGCTACTAGGACCAGCTTGAGAGCCACTGGAGTCCTGTCTCACAAAAAAAGTGTCCAGAGAGCTCTGTTTCTGGCATCTCTTTAAAACTTCCCTAAAATGGGCCAAGACTGTCACTGTACAAGTTACCGATACGGCTTGCAACATCCTTCTCAGGGTGATGTTTCTTCATAAATCTTTCCATCCTACCCCACATTTCACCATGCCTTATCACACTGTGTATGCCACTACGCTTCTTAAATCTCTCAAACCAACCTTTGCTGGCCTTAAATTCACAATTATCAGTACTCGTTGCAGGCAATTTCTTTACCAGATCGTCATGCAACTGCCTAGCCTTTTCACAAATAATTGACGTCATAAGACTATCTCCTGCTAATTTTTTCTCGTTTATCCACACCAATAATAACTTCTCAACAACTTTGAGTACTGGTGATCTCATTTTTGTCAGCATATTTACCTCCTTTGCAACATCTTCCTTGATTTCCTTTTTCTTGGCCACGATGGAAGATATGGTTGTACGGGATTTGTTATACATCCTGGCCAGTTCAGCCACAAGTACGCCACTTTCATAAGTGTTCAGTGATGTTTTTCTTAAATTCAGTCGTATTTCTCACCTTCTTTACCAAAGGCTTGGCACTAGGAGCTTTCTTTGGAGCCATGGTAGCTTACTTAGCACTTGCAGGCACTAAAATGAATGGAATATTATGAAATATTTCGTGTGAACAAGTGAGGGGACCATCGCTCACTGGTAAACAGTGGCACACTGGCTGGGAAAGGAGGGCGAGACGGCTCAGAGTGTGAGTACGCATCCCGGATGAAGGACGATTAGCAAGTCAACTGACCATTTGCGAGCCAATGTTTGGACAAAAATAATGTGACGATTTCCGAAAAGGACAACTATTGAGCCAGACAATTATTGAGGGACCACTGTATTCCAAGACAATAGTAAATGGCCTAGGCAGGTGTAAATGTCCACATGTCAATGTGTTTCTGACAATTTGAGTACAATTTCAGTACCTAATACAAGTGTCAGAACAAAGATTGATTATGAAATGACATGAACTACTATAAACTGCAATTATCAGAACATAAAAATTACATAAAATAATATGAAAAAGAGACAAAAAGGTATATTGGCAACACTTCTGCAAGCAGCAGGACTGGAGGCTGCCATCAGGTGAGCATCCAGTGCCAACTTCTCAGCCTCATATCTCTGTAAGTACTGACCCTAATTTATTTTTTATCCTATAACACTTAAAGAAATGCACTCTTTATTTCCATAAAAAAAATGATTTTTTTATTTTTCAAAATATTCGGGGCACTGGGGTAGTGAACACATATATACATTTGGACCATTTACGGGTTAAAAAAAATTGGGCATCATTTTTCTCTTGAAGTATTTGAAAAAAAAATCAGTTTAGAGATACTGTATTTTACTAACTAGAATTTGGAATTCTTTATCTTATTTAGAAAAGTTAGGTTTTAAAAGATCATTTAAAATAAAAAAAATCAATTTAAGAGAATTGCAATTACAAGGCTCTGAATAAAAGAGCTATAATTAAATCTTGTAAGTATTCCCGATTTATCTTTGTTAATATTTAAGATGAATGAAGTGAAATCAAGTTTGTTTAGTAATGAAGGATAAAAAGTCACAATACCTTGGTCCAGGAGAGGCCAAAACATCATCATGAGGCTCGTCTCCTAAGTGTGGGCTTTTAATGAATTATTAAGTAATGTAAATTTCTCCTAAACCCCCCATAAGCACATTTTATATTGAAATAATTCAGGACAGTTGTGTCGGGAAGTACAATGCCAGCACTTTAAAGGAGAGGTTTGGGATAATGGCTGTTTGGAGTGACATTTGAACTGTCATATCTGAGCACCTCTGCAAAGATAGTGATTATGTGTGAATGATGGTGAAAGTGTTTCTTTTTTGGATCACCCTGCCTTGCTGGGAGGCAGCCAGTGTGTTAAAAAAAAAATTGTGTTGTAAGCCGATTTTAAGCACTGTGAATAAGGGAAGGTATACATAACAGACCTGACTAGGGTCACCAGAGAGAGAGAGTGTATATGTCTGCTAGCATTCTTTTATATTGTAGTGCATTTTTTTTTTTTTTTTTTTTTTTTTTTTTTTTTTTTTTTTTTTTGACACTGGCCGTTTCCCACAGAGGCATGGTGACCCAGAAAGAAAGAAACACCCAGAAAGAAAGAAAAAAACTTTCATCATCATTCAACACTTTCACCATCACTCATACATAATCACTGTCTTTGCAGAGGCGCTCAGGTGCGACAGTTTAGATGTCCCTCCAAACTGCCAATGTCCCAAACCCATCCCTTAAAGCGCAGGCATTGGCCTTCCCATTTCCAGGACTCATGTCTGGCTAACTGGTTTCCCTGAATCCCTTCACAAAATATTACCCTGCTCACACTCCAACAGCTTGCCAGGTCCCACAAACCATTTGTCTCCATTCACTCCTATCTAACACGCTCATGCATGCTTGCTGGAAGTGCATTCCTTGTTCAATATTCACATTGCTTTAATACAAAGCCTTGAATAGCCACTCCTTATTTAAAATTATATTAAAGTATGTGTGTGTTGTTTTCAGGGTGGCCATTTTGACTTAGCTGACAGAATGTTCCACAGTATGAAGGAAGCTTGGCACTCTGCATCACGCAACAATATGGCAGATGTTAAAGAACTTATACCAGAGTTTTTCTATTTGCCAGAATTTCTTCTTAACTCTAACAAATTTGATCTAGGTAAGTTTTGTCAATGCGTCCACGTGTGTGTGTGTGTATGTGCATTTGTGTGTGTGCATGTGTGTGTGTACTCACCTATTTGTGGTTGCAGGGGTTGAGTCATAGCTCCTGGCCCTGCCTCTTCACTGATTGCTACTAGGTCCTCTCCCTGCTCCATGAGCTTTATCAAACCTTGTCTTAAAATTTAACTACATATGGTTCCTGCCTCCACTACATCACTTTCTTGGCTATTCCACTTCCTGACAACTCTATGACTGAAGAAATACTTCCTAACATCCCTTTGACTCACCCGAGTCTTTGTCTTCCAATTGTGACCCCTTGTTTCTGTGTCCCATCTCTGGAACATCCTGTCTTTGTCCACCTTGTCAATTCCTCGCAGCATTTTACATGTTGTTATCATGTCTCCCCTGACTGTCGTGTCCTCCAGTGTCATCAGGCCGATTTTCCTTAACCTTTCTTCATAGGACAATCCCCTTAGCTCTGGAACTAGTCTTGTTACAAACCTTTGCACTTTCTCCAATATGGGCCTGACATACATGGTGTATAGAGTCTTGAACAATTTATTACTGAGGTATTGGAATGCTATTCTTAGGTTGCCAGATGCCTGTATGCTGCAGCAGTTATCTGATTGATGTGCACCTCAGGAGATGTGCTTGGTATTATACTGACCCCAAGATCTTTTTCCTTGAGTGAGGTTTGCAGTCTTTGGCCACCTAGCCTATACTTTGTCTGTGGTCTTTTTTGCCCTTCCCTGATCTTCATGACTGCATTTGGCAGGGTTAAATTCAAGGAGCCAGTTGCTGGACCAGGCTTGTAGCCTGTCCAGGTCTCTTTGTAGTCCTGCCTGATCCTCATTAACTTCACATCATCTGCAATCAGAGACACTTCTGAGTCTGTCCCTTCTGTTATGTCATTCCATATACCAAAAACAGCACAGGTCCTAGGATTTACCCGTGTGGAACCTCACTCCTCACAGGCGCCTACTCTGACACCTAGTCACATACCATGACTCATTTCCTCCCTGTACTCTCCTAAGTGTACTCACCTAATTGTGGTTGCAGGGGTTGAGACTAGGCTCCTGGCCCCGCCTCTTCACTGATCGCTACTAGGTCCTCTCTCTCCCTGCTCCATGAGCTTTATCATACCTCATCTTAAAACTATGTATAGTTCCTGCCTCTACTACATCGCTTGCCAGACTATTCCACTTCCTAACTACTCTGTGGATGAAGAAATACTTCCTAACATCCCTTTGACTCATCTGAGTCTTCAGCTTCCAATTGTGACCCCTTGTTTCTGTACCCCATCTCTGGAACATCCTGTTTCTGTGCCCCATCTCTGGAACATCCTGTTTCTGTCCACCTTGTCTATTCCACGTAGTATTTTGTATGTCGTTATCATGTCTCCCCTGACCCTCCTGTCCTCCAGTGTGTGCACATGTGTGCATGTATGTGTGTGTTTCCTGTTGTTTGTGTGTGTACTCACCTAGTTGTGATTGCAGGGGTTGAGTCATAGCTCCTGGCCCTGCTGTGTGTGTGTGTGTGTGTGTGTGTGTGTGTGTGTTGTGTGTGTGTGTGTGTGTGTGTGTGTTTTCCTACCCTTTCTCCCACCACTCACAACTGTCCTCTCTCCTACCACTAACACCTATATTCTCTCCCACTCTTTTTTACACCCATATACCCTCACACCCATCCAACCACCCTCTCACCCTTACTCTTTTGTTTTACATGTTACAGTGTTCATAGTATGCAGTAGTGCCTCCAGAACCAACTATTATGAAATATAAATTTCATAATTTGGAAATAATTGACTATCAGCAATAATGTAGACCACCTGCCCACTGTTAGTCCATTAATTAAAGGGTTCAGTGTATTAGTTTTTCATTTTAATTCAATTCAAGTTTATTCTCTATAATGGTTTCAGTGTGGGGTTTACAGGTTTTGGGTATTTCGTGGTTTACTTGTTATAAAATACTAATTACAGAGGGGGCCACTAGGACACCTAGCATGGCTAGGCATTTTGAGCTGACTTAGATTAATTCTTAACATTAAATCCTTACAGATTATGGTATTAAAGTGACTACTTCATAATTTGTGAGTTTAGCTATGTGAATGCTTTTGTTTTGGCACAATACTTGAAGTAAATGCTTGCTATCAACCTTTTAATGCTGATTAAGTTATCATAGTACTGCTAAAGAATTATAATACTTCTTGTAGCTCACATTTGCAGATGGATGTCTTTTAATTATTTGTTTAATATTTTTTTAAAACGTCGGTCATTTCCCTCCGAGGCAGGGTGACCCAAAATGAAAGAAAAAACTTTCATCATCATTTAACACTTTCACCATCACTCAGAGATATGACAGTTTAGATGTCCCTCCAAACTACAAACACCCCAAACCCCTCCTTTAACTCTTTGACTGTTTCGGTCATATATATATAGATGTCTCTTTTGCATGATGGTAGGATTGCTGGTTTCTTTTTCTGTCTCATAAACACGCTAGATAACAGGGATATCTTGCTACTCCTACTTACACTTTGATCACACTTCACAGACACGCACATGCATATATATATACATACATCTAGGTTTTTCTCCTTTTTCTAAATAGCTCTTGTTCTTCTTTATTTCTTCTATTGTCCATGGGGAAGTGGAAAAGAATCTTTCCTCCGTAAGCCATGCATGTCGTATGAGGCGACTAAAATGCCGGGAGCAATGGGCTAGTAACCCCTTCTCCTGTAGACATTTACTGAAAAAGAGAAGAAGAAAAACTTTATAAAACTGGGATGCTTGAATGTGCATGGATATAGTGCAGATGACAAGAAACAGATGATTGCTGATGTTATGAATGAAAAGAAGTTGGATGTCCTGGCCCTAAGCGAAACAAAGCTGAAGGGGGTAGGGGAGTTTCAGTGGAGGGAAATAAATGGGATTAAATCTGGAGTATCTGAGAGAGTTAGAGCAAAGGAAGGGGTAGCAGTAATGTTGAAGGATCAGTTATGGAAGGAGAAAAGAGAATATGAATGTGTTAATTCAAGAATTATGTGGATTAAAGTAAAGGTTGGATGCAAAAAGTGGGTCATAATAAGCGTGTATGCACCTGGAGAAGAGAGTAATGCAGAGGAGAGAAAGAGATTTTGGGAGATGTTAAGTGAATGTATAGGAGCCTTTGAACCAAGTGAGAGAGTAATTGTGGTAGGGACCTGAATGCTAAAGTAGGAGAAACTTTTAGAGAGGGTGTGGTAGGTAAGTTTGGGGTGCCAGGTGTAAATGATAATGGGAGCCCTTTGATTGAACTTTGTATAGAAAGGGGTTTAGTTATAGGTAATACATATTTTAAGAAAAAGAGGATAAATAAGTATACAAGATATGATGTAGGGCAAAATGACAGTAGTTTGTTGGATTATGTATTGGTAGATAAAAGACTGTTGAGTAGACTTCAGGATGTACATGTTTATAGAGGGGCCACAGATATATCAGATCACTTTCTAGTTGTAGCTACACTGAGAGTAAAAAGGTAGATGGGATACAAGGAGAATAGAAGCATCAGGGAAGAGAGAGGTGAAGGTTTATAAACTAAAAGAGGAGACATTTAGGGTAAGATATAAACAGCTATTGGAGGATAGATGGGCTAATGAGAGTATAGGCAATGGGGTCGAAGAGGTATGGGGTAGGTTTAAAAATGTAGTGTTAGAGTGTTCAGCAGAAGTTTGTGGTTACAGGAAAGTGGGTGCGGGAGGGAAGAGGAGCGATTGGTGGAATGATGATGTAAAGAGCGTAGTAAAGGAGAAAAAGTTAGCATATGAGAAGTTTTTACAAGGTAGAAGTGATGCAAGGAAGGAAGAGTATATGGAGAAAAAGAGAGAGGTTAAGAGAGTGGTGAAGCAATGTAAAAAGAGAGCAAATGAGAGAGTGGGTGAGATGTTATCAACAAATTTTTGTTGAAAATAAGAAAAAGTTTTGGAGTGAGATTAACAAGTTAAGGAAGCCTAGAGAACAAATGGATTTGTCAGTTAAAAATAGGAGAGGAGAGTTATTAAATGGAGAGTTAGAGGTATTGGGAAGATGGAGGGAATATTTTGAGGAATTGTTAAATGTTGATGAAGATAGGGAAGCTGTGATTTCGTGTATAGGGCAAGGAGGAATAACATCTTGTAGGAGTGAGGAAGAACCAGTTGTGAGTGTGGGGGAAGTTCGTGAGGCAGTAGGTAAAATGAAAGGGGATAAGGCAGCCAGGATTGATGGGATAAAGATAGAAATGTTAAAAGCAAGTGGGGATATAGGTTTGGAGTGGTTGGTGCAATTATTTAATAAATGTATGGAAGAGGGTAAGGTACCTATGGATTGGCAGAGAGCATGCATAGTTCTTTTGTATAAAGGCAAAGGGGACAAAAGAGAGTGCAAAAATTATAGGGGGATAAGTTTGTTGAGTGTACCTGGTAAAGTGTATGGTAGAGTTATTATTGAAAGAATTAAGAGTAAGACGGAGAATAGGATAGCAGATGAACAAGGAGGCTTTAGGAAAGGTAGGGGGTGTGTGGACCAGGTGTTTACAGTGAAACACATAAGTGAACAGTATTTAGATAAGGCTAAAGAGGTCTTTGTGGCATTTATGGATTTGGAAAAGGCGTATGAAGGGTGGATAGGGGGGCAATGTGGCAGATGTTGCAGGTGTATGGTGTAGGAGGTAGGTTACTGAAAGCAGTGAAGAGTTTTTACGAGGATAGTGAGGCTCAAGTTAGAGTATGTAGGAAAGAGGGAAATTATTTCCCAGTAAAAGTAGGCCTTAGACAAGGATGTGTGATATCACCGTGGTTGTTTAATATATTTATAGATGGGGTTGTAAGAGAAGTAAATGCGAGGGTCTTGGCAAGAGGCATGGAGTTAAAAGATAAAGAATCACACATAAAGTGGGAGTTGTCACAGTTGCTCTTTGCTGATGACACTGTGCTCTTTGGAGATTCTGAAGAAAAGTTGCAGAGATTGGTGGATGAATTTGGTAGGGTATGCAAAAGAAGAAAATTAAAAGTGAATACAGGAAAGAGTAAGGTTATGAGGATAAAAAGATTAGGTGATGAAAGATTGGATATCAGATTGGAGGGAGAGGGTATGGAGGAGGTGAATGTATTCAGATATTTGGGAGTGGACGTGTCAGCGGATGGGTCTATGAAAGATGAGGTGAATCATAGAATTGATGAGGGGAAAAGGGTGAGTGGTGCACTTAGGAGTCTGTGGAGACAAAGAACTTTGTCCTTGGAGGCAAAGAGGGGAATGTATGAGAGTATAGTTTTACCAAAGCTCTATATGGGTGTGAAGCATGGGTGATGAATGTTGCAGCAAGGAGAAGGCTGGAGGCAGTGGAGATGTCATGTCTGAGGGCAATGTGTGGTGTGAATATAATGCAGAGAATTCGTAGTTTGGAAGTTAGGAGGAGGTGCGGGATTACCAAAACTGTTGTCCAGAGGGCTGAGGAAGGGTTGTTGTTGTGGTTCAGACATGTAGAGAGAATGGAGCGAAACAGAATGACTTCAAGAGTGTATCAGTCTGTAGTGGAAGGAAGGCGGGGTAGGGGTCGGCCTAGGAAAGGTTGGAGGGAGGGGGTAAAGGAGGTTTTGTGTGCGAGGGGCTTGGACTTCCAGCAGGCATGCGTGAGCGTGTTTGATAGGAGTGAATCTAGACAAATGGTTTTTAATACTTGACGTGCTGTTGGAGTGTGAGCAAAGTAACATTTATGAAGGGGTTCAGGGAAACCAGCAGGCCGGACTTGAGTCCTGGAGATGGGAAGTACAGTGCCTGCACTCTAAAGGAGGGGTGTTAATGTTGCAATTTAAAAACTGTAGTGTAAAGCACCCTTCTGGCAAGACAGTGATGGAGTGAATGATGGTGAAAGTTTTTCTTTTTCGGGCCACCCTGCCTTGGTGGGAATCGGCCAGTGTGATAATAAAAAAAAAAAAATCTTCAAATTATGTCCTGAAATTTGTATTGATAAAGCCACTGGATAGCGAAACGTCTACAATAAAGATACCCAGATGTTGCACGTTTGTCTTAATCTCATCTTGTCGGTATTGTATACCATTCTTGTACAGCACTATTTCTGGTATCCTGGGCATTACTTTCTGTCAAAACCATTACATTCATCTTCACTGAGACTTCAATCTGTGTTAGAACTATCACTTGGGAAGGGAAGAGCCCCAATTCACCGGAGAGTAGGGCATTCCTTACCGCTTGGCTTGGTGACCAAGATGCACTGAATTATACCACTCACACAGCCCACTGCAGGTGCCCCAATTTTTTTTCATACTGTGCACACTGACCATGCAGACCCATTCTCTCACCTGTGGCCCTACCAACTTTCTCCCGCTAGATTTGAAGGCGCTAGAATTTTGGCAGAGTATTACAGGACTAACACTGGCTCTCAAGCTGTAATAGTACGGGACCAACCCCGAAAGGGTTAAATGATGTATTTTTACCTACAAATGTAGGTTAGTCATATGAAGATAATGTTGGAGTGTTGTTTTCTTGCACTTGAAATGTTTAAATGTTTTAATGTTCATTTTCTTATATAAATTGTATTTTCAGGCTGTAAACAAAGTGGGAAACAGTTGGACGATGTTGTTCTGCCTCCTTGGGCCAAAGGTGATGCTCGAGAATTTATCCGGCTTCATCGTGCAGCCTTGGAATGTGACTATGTTTCTACCCATCTTCATGAGTGGATAGATTTAATATTTGGATATAAGCAGCTTGGACAACCAGCAGTAGAGGCTGTTAATGTCTTCCATCATCTTTTTTATGAGGGGAATGTAGATATTTACAAGTAAGTACAGCCTCTCCTCACTTAACAACAGAGTTTCGTTCTTACGACCATGAATTCGCCGCTAAGTGAGGAACATACTATAATGGTTGTGGGTTTGTGTCAACCATCTTCAATATTGTTTTAATGTTGCCTTTGCGCCATTTATAACATTTATGGTTATATTTTTAACTCTTTGAGTATTTCGGTCATATACATACGTCTTACGAGCCAATGTGTTTGACGTATATACACCTACCATCCGACTTACGACCTGCTCGACATATGTCCACTCGACTTACGACCGTGCATCTGGCAGCTGGGCTGGGCCGGCTGATGCACACCGCTGTACGATATTTGACAATACTCGCAGCGGCAATGCGCCATGCAGGCAGCATCAGTTTGAGTAACCCTGCCCTATCAGCAGCATCATACTGTATTAACTGTACTAACTGGACAGTAAATTTCACCATGGCCCCTAAGATGAAGTCTGAATTTTGCACTGGAGATTGTGGCAAGAAAGGCTCTTACTCTCGAACTCTCTATTTGTTTTCACTGTTGCACATAAACCTGCCTGTATATCTGTGTCTGTCTGTATCTCTGTGTGTCTGTTTATCTGTCTGTCTACCTGTGTGTTTGTCTTTCTGTCTAACCGTATGTCTGTCTTTATGTCTACCTGTGTGTCTGTCTTTCTGTCTACCTGTGTGTCTTTCTGTCTACCTGTGTGTCGGTCTGTATGTCTACCTGTGTGTCTGTCTTTATGTCTACCTGTGTGTCTGTCTTTGTCTACCTGTGTGTGTCTGTCTACCTGTGTGTCTGTCTACCTGTGTGTCTGTCTACCTGTGTGTCTGTCTTTCTGTCTACCTGTGTCTGTTTTTCTGTCTGCTTATCTGTCTCAGAGCCACTCATTAACAGTGTAATTGGTCTTGAAGATGCCATATGTATTAACCCTTTCAGGGTCCGTCCTGTAGATCTACGGCTTTACATTCAGGGTCCAAACTGTAGATCTACGTCATGAGCTCAGCTCACTCTGATAAACTGTGAGTGGTACATTTGGGCCTAGATATGAGAGAATACATCTGTGTGGTATGTGTGCACCACATAAAACAAATCCTGCAGCACACTGTGTATAATGAGAGAAAAAAAACTGAGACCATGATTTTCGATTAAAACAGCGACTTTGCAGTGTTTTCTCGTATGTTTTTTATAGTTGTATTTGTGATTTCTTGGTCTCATTTGATAGAATGGAAGACATATTACAGAAATAGAGATGATTTTGATTGGTTTTAGCAATGGAAATGGCTTGAAACTGAGCTCAAAGTAGCGGAAATGTTAAATTTTTGCTAATGTTCAAGAGTAAACAAACGACCTCACACGTCTAATACACGCCACCTCGTGGGTCTAATATACATTCACAAATGTGGTGATGATATTTATACAATTATTACAATATTGCATAACAGTAAATCTTCTATTTTTTGGTGTGAATAAAAATTCATTATGTGAATAAAAAATGAAATTCACGTGTAAAGCCTCAAAACATAACTAATGAACAGAGGAAATGTTAGTTTAGTGCCAGGAATACCTACATTGTTTATTCTGGACCCTATTTTGAAATTGGAATATTTTGAACTTTGTGTTAAATTGGCCAAATTACCAACTTCCGATCACTTTATTTTGTAGTTGAAACAGTGGACTTGGCGATTTCTTGTGCTCAGTCGATAGAATAGAAGTAATACTAGTGAAATAGCTAAGAATTTGGTCGACTGGAATAATGTAATTGGCCTAAAATGGGAGTCAAAGTCGGCAAAATCAACGATTCATAAATATCGCTGACACATCAAAATTCGCGAGAGCATAATTTCGTCAATTTTCCATCAGATTTCGTACTTTTTGTTTTATTACCTTCACAAAAAGATTCTCAAGCATTTCATAAGAAAAAATAACTAATTTTTTTTTTTTTAAATTCTTGGACACTTGGGCACCACTTCAGATTTTGGCCTTGGACCCTGAAGGGGTTAATAATGATAATAACACAATAATAATCACTGAGGCACATTAAATGTGTATAAAACGTTAATATAGACATTTTGCTTAATCCATCTATGATTTTTTTTTTCAAAATTATACAATAAACATGCTTCATAACATATAAACATATAAATTAACAAATACGAGATGTTTTTCTGGTGGGCTTGACAGAGTGAACAAAAACCATTCGTGTCCGGACTGGTAACAACAACATTTGTTTACATAACTCTGAACCTACTACTCTCTCATTCTCTCTCTCGTTTATTCATTTAATCTTGTTTACTCACCTCTCACTCTACATCAAGACTACAGATATTTTAAGGTAAGTAATGAGTGGACACGATTATTATATTATAGTTTAATATTATTATTATTAATATTAGTACATATGTATTATTGCCCTAAGCAGTAGGTTGGTAGACATCAACCGCCCAGGGAGGTACTATCGTCCTGCCAAGTGAGTGTAAAACGAAAGCCTGTAATCATTTTACATGATGGTAGGATTGCTGGTGTCCTTTTTTCTGTCTCATAAACATGCAAGATTTCAGGTACGTCTTGCTACTTCTACTTAAACTTAGGTCACACTACACATGCATGTACAAGCATATATATATCCACACCCCTTTGAGTTTTCTTCTATTTTCTTTTTAGTTCTTGTTCTTGTTTATTTCCTCTTACCTCCATGGGGAAGTGGAACAGAATTCTTCCTCCGTAAGCCATGCATGTTGTAAGAGGCCACTAAAATGCCGGGAGCAAGGGGCTAGTAACCTCTTCGCCTGTATATATTACTAAATGTAAAAGGAGAAGCTTTCGTTTTTCCTTTTGGGCCACCCTGCCTCGGTGGGATACAGCCGGTGTGTTGAAAGAAAGAAAGAGAAAAGGAGAAACTTTCGTTTTTCCTTTTGGGCCGGTGTGTTGAAAGAAGAAGAATGTATTATTGTAATAATAATAATAATTATTATTTATATTATTATTAATTTAGGGCACTGGAGCACAGATCCACTGTATAGCACTTTGTCTGGATTTTTTTTGGGTTATCCTAGGTAATTTATACTATGTATGATAACTTCACTTACGTGTACCTGTGAGAAAGAGAGATACAGCCACATTCGGTCAGCCAGTCAGCCAACCACCCACCACCCACCCACCCATCCAGCCACCCACCCACCCAACCACCCACCACCACCCCACCACCCACCACCCACCCACCCACCCACCCACCCACCACCACCCAACCCACCCAACCCACCCACCCACCACCCAACCCACCCAACCCACCCACCCACCCAACCCACCCACCCACCCAACCCATCCACCCACCCACCAACCCACCCACCCACCCACCAACCCACCCACCCAACCCACCAACCCACCCACCCAACCCACCAACCCACCCACCCACCCAACCCACCCACCCACCCAACCCACCCACCCACCCACCCACCCGCACCCACCCACCCACCCAACCACCCACCCACCCAACCCACCCAACCCACCCACCCACCCAACCCACCCACCCACCCAACCCACCCACCCACCCACCCACCCACCCACCCACCCAACCCACCCACCCACCACCCAACCCACCCAACCACCCACCCACCACCAACCACCACCCACCTGGCCACCCAGCCAGCCTGCCAGATATACGTATTACACATGTTCCAGAGTTGTTTCTCCTTACTTAGGTTATAGGTTACACAACATTCTGGCAGGATGACACTACCAGTGATATTCTCCCATTCCACTGTGTCGACAAAACATAAAGATAACAGTAACATGTGATACTGTATGCAATGTAAAATATATATTACAGTTCACTACCATGTATACATTATATACAGTACATAAATAATTAACGTATAGCAATAAAAGTAAATTATGGTAAAAAGAATGAAATAATGATTGTACTTTACATTACAGTACTATGTAGGTAGTTTATATAGGTAAAGCCATGTAATGGCGTGTCAGCGTGCCTCGTTGTGCTCCGGGTTTTCTCGTGTTTTCACGGTCGCTCTTACGTGCTAGAACTTTAGTTTGTGCCATCAATCCTATACGATACATCCCTCTAGTGCCTGGAACCAATCTTGGGCGGAAAACATTATATACTGAGTCAAAAAAGGAGAATTAGTGTGCACTACCTAGCAGAGTTTACTACCAGAGGGGAATCATAGGCCTAGTGTGCCGTGTGCAAAATAATAATAATAGAACTTTTCTTTGTCAGAGGAAAGAAAGTCTCCCTGATAACATTGTGTATACATAGTGTATAGTGTATACTACAGTGGCTCCCTAGTATATAGATGATAAAGGCTAAAGTGTCATTTAAAAACAGGTGAATTTGTAAATGAAGTGATAAGCCTATAGAGGCAGGTGCCAGAAGTCGCCAGAAACTTACCACAGTGGTCAGCTGTTTTAATAATCTTCCTGGCCTGCTATTGTACTCGCATATAATCTAGTGATACCAGTGAATAGCAGAATACAGTGTTGTAGTAGCAACTAACCAGTATTATAATGGTACTTAGTGGAGTGGAGTGACTTTCATTAGTTTCCTTTTTCTTGAAATACCAGACGTATACTGTGAATTTCATATAACCTGTAGTTACCAGCGGTCGCAATATACACAACGAGAAGCAATTATTACTACAGAAAAAGCGTCCTTCCTCCAAAATTTTCACCAGTCAACTATAGTGATAATATAGCATTTATTGTGGTGGAGATGGAAAAAAACTAGAAAAGCTAGATACAGCAATTGATAAACAAGGGTTGAGGCTCGACCGTTCGTCACTGTAGGAGCTGCCAGAAATCACCGGTTCTTCAACACGCAAGTTATACTTTTGTATCAATCAAATCACATATTACTCGGGTAGATAATTTCAAGTAGATCCTTCATGTGTTAGCCCAAATCACCGACTAGTATGTTTTAAATAAGTGACCCACTGATCAGATCAGATCGACTGGTCCGAACCCTCGACTGGTCCAAACCCTTGATGGTC